TCTAATAACAAGCTCCATGTAAGCAAACCAGTCCTTGAATCTTGGGAGAGCTCCTCACTTAAGAACCGCTTTCACGAAGTTGTATTGTGCCGGCTTCGAATCGGGCACTCCTTCCTTACACACAGATATCTTCTTTGTGGGGAGGATCCACCAGTTTGTGAGCACTGTGGAGACAATCTTACTATTCTTCATATTTTGTGGATCTGCCCGGAATTCGACACTGAACGACGCGCTCATTTTCCTGAGTTTTTTAGATATTGTATTCCATTTCATCCCGCTCTTTTGCTGGGAGAGCACCCTTTAGTTCCTCTTGATCGAGTTTTATCATTTATTACTAGCACTGGCCTTATACACCAGATCTAATCCCAGTTTTTTCAGGATCATCTTTTTTTAATGAGGTAACTATAGGAGTTTCATCAGTTAATTTAGTCTGGCGCAGTATGGCCTCCGTTGCTGTTGCGCCATAAAACCCGCAAACAACAACAACAACAACAATTGTTTATACTTTTATCTTGTCACCTTTTGCTTTGTACCACATAAAAAGCCCTGCGCTTTTTGTGGACAGATAAAATAAAGACTATTAATATTAATACTATTATTAAAGTTTAAAAAAAGGGAAGGCGTATATTGAGATTGGGTCTTTTTACTGCAAGGCATGTTTGTCTGCATTATCGTTATTTGCGATTGGGGTAAAGTGTTAAGTACGTTCTAAGTGTTTCTCTCAGGATGTTTCTTAATGTTTTGCTTTTGCTGTTATTGTTTGTAATAGGGCCAATATTATTTTTGTACTGCTGGTATTCTCCTTAAAATGTTTTTTTCTTTTTTTTCTGTATGTGCTGTTTTGATGGCTTGATGTTTCTTTTTGCTTCCATCATGGGAGGTACATGTAGGTGTTTTTTTTTTTCGTTCCTTGGATGTTGCGCGTTGGTCGTGCTCTGCCAATCGTAAGGGTGCAGAGGTCTAATCATGTCTTGACTTTTGCCTTTGCAACCTACATTGGTGTTCGAGGTAAAATAAAATTTTGATCAATTGATTTGTTAGATTTTAGCCACGCGTTCTGGACACAATGCACGTTCACATTAAAATACCCTGCTACAGACAAATAAGCGTCAGGTGACATCGTGGTCTTACGTGACGTCACAGTGGCGTCACATAGTTTCGCGCAAATATCTATAGACCTTTTCGACCTCCGTCGCATGGCCGCTGCCTTCTACGAGTTACGCTGTGCGACAGACATATGGTAACCTCAATACGTCGTTCCAGTGAAAGCGTAGTCGTGTTTTACGTCGTGTTTCACTGCGTTTCTGGCCTTAATTTGTTAATGTGCACAACTTCTGCAGTTAAGCTTGCAACAGGTCTTGCTGTGTTCGCCGTCGAGTGCCGGATATGTGTGAGGAGGGTGGGGGCACAGGGATCAGCATTAGCCCTGGCCCACAGTGCGAAGGTTGAGAAACAAGTTACTTATGGCAACTTAAGTTTGCTTAGTGATAATACCGGAACATTAGAAATAACTACTGGAGTGTAAATTTCTGATGGCGGATTTAGGATCTTAAGTGGGTTATGCAACAATTTGCGTACTTTTGAGTACTGTGGTCTACTCGCTCAACCCTTGTCCGGAAACGGGTCAAGTCACGATGTAGACGGTTTAATACCCGAGCTGGTGTTCGGCGGCTCATTTCGCCATGGCTGAAATGTCATGTTTCTTGCTAAGCGCTCGTGCCCCATGCCTTGGCCCCAGCCACCCGCAGCATCGTCACCACAGTTCTGTGTCCAAAATCCCTACATCTCGCCCCCCTTGCCCCTCTCCACTTATAGATTGGTCACGTCACTAAATCAGCAGACTCCTCATCACAGGAGGCCTTTAAACCCACGCTGCCTCGAGTATATCATAATCTTCCACATATAACTTGAACGACTCTGCAGAGAACCGCCGCACCCGAAACAGGGAAAAAAACTAATACTCAGCAAAAATACATGGAAGTAGTTACCCTCGTAAGCTCCACCGACCACCAAATCTTCGTTGTGAGGTAGAAAATCTCACAAGAATGATTATGTTCGCAGAGCCGTTAACTGGGTTCCAAAACATCTTAAATTTTGAAGCAAACGAAATCAATGATGTATACAATTGTCTGCTTTTTTACTGTTCTCCCCCTCCAACCGAGCAATCATCAGTTACGCCGATTAACTTAAAAATGTACACCTTGCGCAATGACTAGCTCTAGTGGAGGTATATAACGTTCTTTTTAAAATAAACACTGATAAAAAATTGAGACAAAAGTGACAATAACAAAAGATTTGCCTGCTTTCCCACCGATCTCTCTCTCCAACTGACCATCACCAATAGCGCCGCTAACTTTTAAAGTCTTCCAGCTTGCGCCATCAAAAAGCTCGAGTGAAAAGAGAGGACCAGCAAAACAGCAAGCGCGCCTTCGCTTTAAAATAAAATAAAACACTGATGTCTAGGCTCGCATTCTCGTCTATCCACTCTTGCAAAAGTCATTCGCCGATGAGTTGTGAACAGGACAGAAGGAGCAAGACGGAAGCACGGGACAGCCGAACGTTAAAGTGAGCAATTGAACGAAGCAAGTGATACTCTCGATGTGCTCTCGCTTTCGGACCTGTCGAAAGCTCCTCGGCGTTTCCGATTTCCTCGGTATCGCTCTCGAACTTGCTCCACCGAGACGGCGTAGCAGAGCAGCCAGTGGGCCTCCCACGGGGCCATCATCTTAGCGATCAGGGTAGAGTGCCTTCATGTGCGCTTCGCATAGAGTGATGCCAACTGCCTGTTTCCCTTTCCCACACCCTCTTCCACCGCCATTTTGTTTCTCTCATTGTTTCCCAGTGAGCCGAAAAGTGGCCTTTGTGTCCATCGGTAATCCCATCGGAGGGGGAAAATGCTAATCCTCCCTCCGTGGGTTCCACAACGCTGCTCCGAACTTGTGAGATAAGGCGCTTGTTTTCGGGAGGGTTATAAGCCCCACGGATTATCGCCGAGGAAAAAAATGGCTGCTGGTTTGTCGGCGAGTGGTAGTACAAAGGGTGGCATCACCCTAGCAGAGCGCACATGAAGGCTCCCTAGATCAGGGCGTTTCGCAGCCCGGGGTCCCTCACGTAGCCGCCCGTGGACAGCCCGAGGGCCTCGGCCGCTCCCTCACGTCAGGTTTGCCAGGGCGTTCGACGAGCTGCACAGCTGTTCGTAGCAGCCGAGGTAGGTACATGGCGTAGGCGAAAGTGAGCAGACCGTGGTAAAGTAGCGCCAAGCTCCCCGTATGGTCGCCACTTTTTGGCTCATGAAATGACCAATTTCTCTTTGACGTCTCCATTCTTGGAGAGCCGATCTAAATTCGCTGGTGACGGGTAGCTTCATATAGACGTTTCTTGTATACCGTGATTTTGCTATTCACACACCGGCGAAACAAGTGTACATATCTTCGTACCACCACCACGTGCGGTGTCAGTGCTTGAAAGGGTTGAAAAATAATTTTCCTGTATTGAAATACGCCACAGGAACAATATAACTGTAGGAGATCCGTGGAGACGGGCATGATTGATGCTGATTGCACACACAGTGCCAAAGACGCTTATATTGGCGACGAATGCCTTCCGTAACGATGATTCTCCGTGGTGATCTTTGTGCGACTGCACTAGAACGACGCTCTCGAAGTTTCAAAATTAGAACAGTCCGAAATGATTATCGCCATTGCAACCAAGTCCAATTAGCCAACCGCCTCGCAAGGTTTTGGTCGTCTGTGTGTTAGTATTTGTTTATGATTGGCTAGCCAGCAGGAAAGGCAATGGCGCTACTCTCCCAGGATTCAGTGACGTGCCATTGTACAGCATTTCATGCTCTGGTGGCGAGGGTCACATGATGTGCACTCGGCGCGGTTCGCGGTTCTGATGGCGTTTATTTTAAATAGGCAGCGACAAATTAGCACTTTGCCAACCTTGCTACGATTATGAAACCACAGGCAATATGCGATCATCATTTATCTTTAAAATAACTAAAATAACTAAAGCATTACAAAAAGCACCAGTAAGCGATGGCGAAATAGCCAAAAACAATAGATGTGACAGCCGAGGAGTGCGTGAGCCCGTAAGGTGAAGGCAGCTAGTGTGAGCTCGAAATTAGCATGCGTGGCAGCTCACTGGTCGCCGAGCCTGCAGGCTTCATTGGCTCACTCGCTGCCAAAACAAATGAAAAAAGGCGGCATGCTTGGATCACATGTTTGGTGGAGCCGACGAGTGTGACTGCAGCATGCTGTGGACTTTTACGTTCTGTGTGCTTTTCGGTAGCGCTCAGATGGCGTCGTTTGCACAATCGACACCATCTGAAGCGGGAAAACACGACCTCTGAACGCGCCCGTGGTCGCAGCAGTTCTTGGGCAATCCTCTGCCGCACTTGCAATCTAAAAGCTTTGTCGCATTTCCTAGTAGTGGTTTCACAAACCATCATTTCTGCTTTTACTCGAGGAAGTCCCCCCCCCCCCTCATGTTTGTCGCACCCCCTCAAACAATTGACCCAATTTTTGGGAAAAATAGGGTGTCAATCGGGAAAGGAAATATGGTATGTCGTCCTCTAATGCCAAAGAACAAAATAAGTATGTTTGCAAAACCACTTTCTAAAAATGTTTTTACATTTCTTTTAGCACACTAAACCGTTTTCTGACCAGTCAGGATAGCTTCCTCAGGTTTGGGCCTTAATTAAGCTGTTTGATATGTACCAAGTACCAGATGGGATTTCGCTGCTTGTTCTTTCTTACTTGTCTTCTTTGTAAAAGAAAGAGAAAATAGTTGGGTGCTCGCACCTGCAGTGATTGTTTTCGTTATTACGTATAGTTATAGATTCCTTTCACTGTAAAGTGCTCCAGCTTGCTCTGATATTCCACTAGGGCATCATAAATACAGTAATCGCTTCGCATAAATCAGCATTGCACGGAGAGCAGCTCTTTCTGGTTCTCACCAGACACCTTTGTTTTGCCACCTCTTTTAATGTTTTACAGATGAACTTCACCGATGCGGGAGTTCAACTCCAGAAGAAGGCGTGGAACGACGCCATGGACGCAAGGATTGGGGCAGCTGTGGCCATGAAGAACCTGGCCACGACCGTATGGGGTTCGGACGTGCTGCTCACGAGGACTGTGACAGGAGTTCCGTCGAATGCCAACAAGGACAAAGAACCCAGGCCACCTTTGACACCCAAGAAGGTGGCATTCTTAAGAGGTGATGGCAAATCACCAGACACAATTTTAATCTAAACAGTAATCCTGTAATTTTTTTCCTAATCAGTGCCTTGTCTAAGTAGTTAAATTATATTGTAGTGACGCGATTGATTTGTAAAAATGGCAGTAGCTCTTTCCGGCATGTTTCAGTGGTGAATAGTTCAGTGCCATAGCTTAATGTGTACGTGCCATTTTGTGCCAGTGACTCGTATGATTTTTAACCTTGTTAATGAGTCTGAGTTAGTCTTTGCTGAGCTTTGCATCAGCATTGACTTTTTTTGCTTTATGGCTTGCTCTGGAGTAGAGATCATAAAATAATCTAGATGAAAAAAGTCCAGCGTCTTCCCATGCATTTCGGCCAATTGGGAACGGTAGATCAGTGCACATGCAATGCCACGATCAGGAAAATACTTGTGGTTCAAGTAACTTCAACACAAGGGGGAAAAATGTGATCGTGTATGTTTATGCAGCCGAGAACTTAGTCTGCCTCAACAGGCGACTTGTCTCCCAGCTGTAGATGAGAAATTTGGCCAGTGCAGTACAACCGCTAGCCTAGGGTCTTTAACGTGCACCACGCAATAGTGTTGCACGTTCGCATGCTGGTACGATGCTCATTCAGATCGAAACGGGTAGGAATGGAGATTAAACCCAAGATCTATGGGTTCTGCAGCTCTAGCTTTCGCTTCACGTCCTCCGAGCTAGTGTGCACTAGCCCACTCAGCCATCGATCGCAAAACAGAGCTGCAGCCGTTTTGAGACTTTGTTGTGTTTGTCCCTTTTTGTTTCCCCTTGTTTCGGGGTAACTTTAACCATGATCACCCACCAGCTCGCCTGGTCCTTAATGCTAATTTCAGTATTTGTGTCTTTAGCTAATTACAAAAGCTTATAATCAGCAACAGATCCAGAATTGCTCCTAATTTGCATACTTTACAGCGGCTCAAACGACCTCTTGGTTGTTTGGACTGCTGTGACCAAGTGGGTTTTCTGGTAGAAATCAGGCTTAAACGAGCTGTACATTGAATGTTTAAGCCTTTCTGTTCCTTTGAATATCTCGCCATTACATGTTTTTCAGAGTGCCTCATCAAAAAACTTCATGCACAAGCGATCCACCCAGAGGTGATAGCAGCCCAGGCCACCACCACCAGGGTCAACAGGATCTTGGGGGAAAAGATCAACGACCTTAGACGCCGGGACAGGCGTTTACCAAAGGAGTAAATAAAAACAGGACCGGCCGGTTCGTGGCAATGCCTCAATCAAATATGGTAGCCAAGCATTCATTTCCCGCAGGCCCCACACAGATTGCCCACAGAGCGTAGGATTATGAAACCGTGTGGTTCACCTACATGGTCTCCACAGTACTGTGGGTCTGCGGGCCCCACAGGCTATGCGGAGACCTATAGGGACCCACACAAACCATGCGGAACCCCCATAGGAACCCACACCCACAGAAACTATGTGGGGACCCATAGGGTCCCACAGACCTGCAGGCACTATGCGGGGACCCATACACCCACACAATTTCTGTGGGACCTACAGGTTTCATAATCCTACATGTCTGCGGGTTTTTGGAGCAGGGAGAAGAAAAGACGACTGAATCATCCTAGCCGGGCCTTACCAGGACTCCCGTCTACGAGAAGTGGAGGCCGAAGTGGTGTATTGCCTCATTCAGGGGGCCCCGAAGGGTCCAAACCTACCCCGGGCTCGGCTCGACCAGCAGGATGAAACAAAATAGCTGCGAGGCAGGACATCAGGGTAGTGTGTTCTGCGCTGAACAAAGCCTACTCAATGTGCCGTAAGGTAAACCAAGACACCAACCACATGAAGACCTGCAACATCGCTCACAGGACTCGAAATGCCCCATGTGAAAAGGGGGTTGTTTATCACATTCGCTTATCGTGTGGCATGTGTTTTATTGGCCAAACTGGCTGATGCCTTAACGACAGGACAAGAGAACACGCAGCACCGTTAAAAGGCACCAATGCAGGTCATCTAACGGCACATTGCGGCAACTGTGCGTGCAGTGCAGAGTTTAACAGCGTTACCATCATCGCAGAACACAAGAACCAGTATATAGGAAGTATTCACTGGCGGCCATAGCTGCGTGCGCGACTGCTCAGAGCGTGCTGATGGCGAGCTTCCACAGTTCTTTTGTAACGTGCATTCCGCACCCTCAAGAGTGCCGGTCTTAGCAGCCTATTAATGTGGGCTCGTTCTGAGCATGCGCTCTAGACAGCATCCACAAATATGGCGCCCAGTGAATACTCCTTATACGAGAAATGCTCGAGACCTTGGCCATCGAGGAAAACGAAGCCACGTGCGTCAGCGAGCCCTCAATCAAGCTCAATTACAAAGAAAAACAATATTTGCGGTGTTTTATGACCCGGTGAAGCGCGGTTGATCCCAATTTTATTTTAGTTAGGTTTCGGATATAAGCGGTGTATACAGGGTGCGGCCGTAAAAACTTTCACATTTGGCACGCCTAGCAAAAGACGAATTTCAAACATACATACCTGAAATTGGGCACACGAACGTCATTTATTCCAAAGTGTTTTGCCAATTTTTTTCAAGCGTCAACTTTGGAGTAGCGAATTATTAGAAAGATAACAAAAATGGCAGACGTGCATTTCCTATGGCCTATACCCGCCCGTTCGCCGTCTGCTATCTAATTCGCGACGGCGCTCCCAGATGGCGTACTGAACGCAAAAACGCGGGAAACGCCGCACGAAAGACTGGTGTCGGGCGAGATAATCGCGATAAAAAGTGATTTTACCGAAATATGAGAACGATTACGCCCTTTTACTTAAAATTTAGAAACTGACGGACGCCCTCGTTTAATAAAAATATGTTCTAAAGCAGACGAACGTGTGTCTTCATTTGTCGTCTGCTTATCTGTTGACGGGTCCGTTCCCGGTGAAAGCTCAACTTTGGAATCAAGAGTGCCGCTGCTGAGGCATCTTGATTGTTCCTATTTATTGCTTTTGTTGCACTGTCTTCTGTAGTTATTATCAAAATATTTTCCGCACCGCCCTGCGATGCCGCAATACTCGGCAAGTGAGTGTGCCCAGGCAGTCAAGTGGTACGTGGAGCGGAACTCGGTGGCCACAGCACAACGAAAATTTCACACTGCATTTCATAAACGCCCGCCTTCACGCCCAACTGTTTTGAGTTGGGCGGATCGTTTTGTGAGTGAAGAAGAATCCAGTCAGTGAACGTAAGAGCCTACTGAAAAATGAGGAGCTCATTGAAGCGGTGCTTGCTGTCTTCGAGAGCGACCCGCAATTGTCAACAAGACGAGCAGCTGTAAATAAATGATCTCGTCGCATCCTGGTGTCTTCTTGCTTGCATGACGATCTGCCAGAACTTGACTTGAAACAGGTAATTTCAACAATTGTTCATATATTTGGTTCAAATCACTTTTTATTGCGATTATCTCGCCCGACACCAGCCTTTCGAGCGGGTTTCCCGAGTTTTTGCGTTCAGTGCGCCACCTGGGAGCGGCGTCGCGAACCAGATAGCAGACGGCGAACGGGCGGGTATAGGCCATAGGAAATGCACGTCTGCCATTTTTCTCATCTTTCTAATAATTCGCTACTCCAGAGTTGACGTCTGAAAAAAATAGGCAAAAAACTTTGGAATAAGCGACGTTCGTGCGCCCAATTTCAGGTATGTATGTTTGAAATTCGATTTTTGCTAGGCGTGCCAAATGTGAAAGTTTTTACGGCCGCACCCTGTATATGGGTTTTAAAAAGGAAAAAGAAAAAAAAAAGCACAAAGTCAAGGTTCAGAAAGAGGACGAAGTATTAAACCACAGTTGGTAGTCCAGCAGTATGCCTGTCTCTTTCTCTCTATATACTCTATTCTCCTAAGTTCAGCTGGCTTTTTTAGTATTTTGCATCAACAAGGGGCTTAACTACAGCCTGATGCCCTTTTCCTCGGACACAGGAAAGCCACGCACAGCCAGACGTGGTGGCGCCACTCACCAAACACCTGCTTTCACAGGTGCCCCCTGCGGGGTCTTGGTTTGAAGCTTCGGCAAGTGTGGCACGTGTGGGCGTAGTAGAATACATCCCTTTTCATGCCTGGTCAGGTTACGATGTGGCATAGCCTTGTGTAAGTATAAGAGCCGCTCGCATGTCCGGCGAAGTGCGAGTCCTGATAGTAACGTATTCTACGCACCTCAATTTTTAGAGTGCAGCTCTTAGGCGCCCGTTTCCGGCTTGAGCGGCGTCGCCGTCGCCGTCGGCGTAACCAAGGTCACCCCAAGGTCACCCCAAGGTCATGTGGCCCCCAAGGTCACGTGACCCCTCCAAATGTCACCCCAAGGTCGCGTGACCCCCCAGGTCACGTGACGTCTCCCGAGGTCACCTCAAGGTTACGTGACCCCCCAAGGTGACCCCCACATGACCCCCCAGGGTCACCCCAAGGCAGACTTGTACCCTACGCATTACCAGTAATCAAATTACTTGTAATCGATTACTTGGTGGAGTAATTTTGTAATCAGTTGATTACTTTTATTGGGCGGTAATCACAAGAGTAATCTGATTACTTTTTGAAGTTATAAAATTACTTGTAACCGTTACAATTTCTCCACGGGACCCCCTTCCCCCCCCCCACGGGCACAGGCCTTTTTTATGAAATGACAAAAATAAAATTTGCTTTTTTTTTTTTTGTTTTGCGAACAGAGAAATAAAGATTTTTGCGGAGCTGTAGGAAACGAGGTCAATCTTTTTCTATCAACAGTTTCTGTGGAATCTCCGTTTTTTTGTTTTTTTTCGAGCTGGGACTGGGAGTGGGAAGCCCCAGGGAAGCCACAGTGCGTGACAAAGGCCATTCAGGGCGAAGTTTGAGGAAGCAGAATGTAGCTTTGTGAGTCCTTCGTTCAAACTAGCCCCCTCTCACGCACACACACACACAGAAATAGAAAAATAAAAGAATCCTGCTTAGGGTACCTACTCGCAGCCCGTAGGAGATCCAGGTCCGAAGAATGCCTAAAGAAGATGCAAAATATAACAAAGGCAGTTGAAATATTTCCCCATTTCGCCTACGTGGTCTTTGTGACAAGCAATGTTTCGAGTTGAGAAGTGGTCAGGGCGATCTCTTTTGCTAATGGATACTACACATGATCCGCTTCAAATCCTGAAGCTGCTGCTCTTTTCTATAACATGCGAGCTCATCCACATGTGAATAATAAAATGAGCGACGCAAACTTTGAGCGACAACCCTTGCTCAAGCTTAACAAGATGTAGAACCCCCTCTGCTTCCCCCCCCCCCCCCCCCCGCATACACACACTGGCGAACGCCCAAATCATTAAACGTCTTCAAACGAATTCTATGCTTGTGTCTGCATTGTGAAGGTGCAACGACCTCGAAGAGGGAGCCAGTTTCTTTTCTTCAATACTTGTGCAAATGTGAAATGTAGGTTGGAAGTATTTCATTGTTATGAGCGCTAAAGATGTGTCTTTACACAATAAAGTAATCGGAAAAGTTACGGTTACTTCTTAAAGTAATGTCCAATTAGTTTTGCCGTCGAGTAATCAACTAATCTAATCGAATACTTTTTAGCCAAGAGTGATAGTAAGTGTAATCGATTACTTTTTTTTAGTAACGTGTACAAGACTGCCCCAAGGTCACGTGACCCCCCAAGTCATGTGACCCCCCAAGGTCACGTGACCCTCCCAAGGTCACGTGACCCTCCCAAGGTCACCCCAAGATCACGCGACCCTCCAGGTCACCCCGAAGTCACGTGACCCCAAAGGTGACCCCCCACGTGACCCCCAAGGTCACGTGACCCCCAAGGTCGCCCCAGGGTCACGTGACCCCCGAGGTCACGTGACCCCCTCTCCCCCCCCCCTTCGAAGTCACGTGACACCGCCCCCCGAGGTCACGTGAGCCCCTCCCCCCGAGGTCAGGTGACCCCCCCAGAGCATATTAAAGAATGAGGGGAGGAGGAGGAGAAGGAGGAGGAGGAGGGGTCTACCCTCCCCTCAGTACCCTTCCCTCCTCCTCCTCCTCAAGTGCTGCGCTCCAATTCGGCGTTACAGGGAGTTGTAAACGGCTTTCACTTTTTCTTTGGCACCACCACCTTGAACAGATTATCTGTGTCCTTCTCAAATGGGATATACTTCAGCAGGAGCCCGTCGGCGTTCAGCAGAAATTGATCTAGCGCGTCAGTATTCGTACCAGATACATCCCGACACTCGGCGTTTACTGCAATACC